CAGGAGGCTGCAATTCTTGGTAAGAAATGTACGCATTATCCTGCCCATGTAATTGTAACTCCTCTGTACAGTATGTTCACAAATAAAATTAAATTAAAAAAAAAAAAAGAGTTGACCAGGCAGTTCTCTGATTACCAGTGTTGGATTTAGCAGTACCTATCATGCTGAATGGCTTCTCACTTTTCCTCAGTTACAGATACTGGACAATCATTTGGTTATAATAAAAAGTATCTCACTAGAGGTCAGTTGTCATGCCAATAATAGCTGTTCTAAAGACAAGATGGGGAGGATCATGGTTTTAGACTAGCACAAGCAAAAACTTAGTGCAGTTTCATTCCAGCAAATGAGCTAGTCACGGTGGTACATGCTTGAAATCCCAGCTACACAAGGTAAAGAAGAGGTTGTTGTCAGTAAAAAGAAAACATAAAAACCCAGAGTAGTTTATTGGTTTCTATCAAAAGTATTCTCTCTAAAGAAAAAAACATTGGGGTGTGGCAGGATTAAACCAGAGGTCTTATACAAGCTAGGCAAGTGATCTACCATTGAGCTAACATCCTAGAAAGAAAAAAAAAATTAAGACTTTTAAAATAAATATTTAGATCATATTAAATAATGAAGTGACATTTGTACTCCAATAAGACCATATGTAAGATCCCCTAAAATTTTAACTCAAATTTTAACAGAAATTTGATCACTACAGATTAGCTACAAAGACCTAATTTCAATATTTATTGTAAAACAATTACAAATATTAGTTCTTGTTCAGTTTACTAAACCTGAGTGAATCTCTTTTTTAAGTGTTTACTATGTTACGATTTTGCACATCAATTCCAATTACATGGTAATATTACAGGGTATTAATTGTGAAGTGGTACAAGACACACAATATCCATTGAATTGTTTTTTAAGTTTGCTACTTTTTTTTCAAAGCACTTTTTGTTCAATAAAGGTTCTAGTCAGTCATTTACTCTAGTTATGAATTTAATTCACTATAATTTAAATTAAGTTTAATATTAATACCCTTTTAAAAACATGCAATCATGACTATTCCAGTTTATGTTATAAAGAAGTTAGGCTTGCCAAGTGCCAGTGGTTCACACCTGTAATCCTAACTACTCAGGAGGGTGAAATCTGAGGATATCTGTTGCAAGCCAACCTGGGCAGGAAAATTCACACAACTCAATATCTCCTATTAATCACAGAAAAAGCCAGAGGTGGCATTATGGCTCAAGTGGTAGAGTGCTAGCCTTGAGCAAAAGGAGCTTAGGGACAGAGCCCAGGCCCAGAATTCAAGCCACAGGACCTGCAAAAAAAAAAAAAGGCTTTGGCTATGATAGGTTTGATCTAATTTAATTTGCAAATCATTTGTTGAATACTTCAGGTATAGGAGAGAGTAATCTATAATAGCATTTATTCTTCATTGATTTAAAATTGTTTGTTATCTTCAGTTTATTTTAGTGACCTTAGGTACTATATGGATAATAGAGTAAATGAGTAATAGAGGGAAAAAAGGAGCCATGTGTATTTTAAAGTGTTACTAATATATACTCTCTAAACAGGTGGTACCAGGAGAGACTGCACTAGCATTTTATAAAGCTAAGAATCCTACTGACAAACCGATAATTGGAATTTCTACATACAATGTTGTACCATTTGAAGCTGGGCAGTATTTCAATAAAATTCAGGTAAACTGAATGCACATATTATACATATGATAAGGGCCCATGAAACTGTTTAATACAAAACTTCTTAACACTGTCATAGTAGTTACTTGTAATATCTAAAAATCATTTCTTTTTGTTGTTGTTGTTGTTGGTCGTGTGTCTGGGCCTGGGCGCTGACCCTCAGCTCTTCAGCTCAAGGCTAGCACTCTACCGCTGAGCCACAGTGCCACTTCCTCATTTCTTTTAAACTTGAAGCTGTTTCTATCATTATTTATACCTGGCTATGTAGAGCGTAAAAGCCGAACCAAATGAGCATTTGTTTTTAAGATTAATTTGATTCTCAATCCTTGAATCAAAACCCAATTGAGATGGAAATCAGATGGTATTATTCTATCATAGAACTTAAAGGTAGGAAATGAACTGTTCCTTTGTTCATTGCTTTGTTTTAGATACTAGAGTGCTTTGTTTTAGATACTAGAGTAGAGGTGTTATTAAACAAGTATCTTTCTGTAACTTCCAGTGCTTCTGTTTTGAAGAACAAAGGCTTAATCCCCAAGAAGAAGTAGATATGCCAGTGTTTTTTTACATTGATCCGGAATTTGCTGAAGATCCAAGAATGGTGAACGTTGATCTCATCACTCTTTCTTATACTTTTTTTGAAGCAAAGGAAGGGGAAAAATTGCCACTTCCAGGCTATAACTGAAGTAGCAACCAAGACCTGCTTCAAATTTGTGATTTTTGAAAAATCATTTATCCTGCCTTCTCTGAAGAGAAATATTCTACAATCGTGTAAATTGAAGCTTCTATTGTTAAATGGCTCTGCTTTTCTTTTTCTCTAATTTATCCCACTTAAAATAGGTTAAGCTTGTACCATACATGCCTATGAAGAAT